CACCTGTAGTTGCCTTTAACTCAAACCTCCAACAAGTTCCAAACAAGTGTTGCCCGGCATTGTGAGCACAGCTTCGGCTGCAGTGGCTAGTATAGAGCCCTGCAAAAAACCCTCTCCGGATGCAGACATTGCCCAGTGTTCCACTTTGGGTTCCAGTGTGCGATCATTTGATAAGTTTTCAGTTTTCAGGCTTCAATGGCTCTCTCTCTCTCTCTCTTTCTATTTGCGTAAATATAGTCCTGTCTAGAGTCTAATGAGTCTAATCCCCTTATAGCCCCCTTTGCGTACACTATCATGTATTTCAAAACCCTTTACGGCCCCCATATTAAACCCTTAAAGCGCTATAAACCCCATAAAGCTGCATCCACCTAAACCCCTACGAACCATCTTCTTTGCTGTTTTCATTTATTAAGCTTCGTCTTGGTGCATCATCAAGGCTGTAGAATCAGCCACGTAACTTCTGAACCTAAGCCCCAACCCCTAAGCCATCAATCTAGTCCCTAGTTTTTGCATCCAGCCAAAACCCCAAGTCCATTTACCCCTAAGCCTTAAACTTTTGGCCTGGTAAGGACTTCTGGCTGTTCTGCAGTTGGAAAAGGGCCCATAAAAACAAAAAAGAAAACACAACATTTTTGGCCCTCAAGGCTCTAGTAGAGCCCCTACTTGCTTGGGGTTTGAGAAGGTTCAGGGGTTTTCATCGGATGTCAGACTTCTCCAGGACCATGTCGTAAGCTCAAGAGTCGCAATGAGCAAAGACAAGCCTTGATGCTCTAGGGATTAGGGTTTAGGTCTTTAGGTTTTTAGGTTGATGCTCTTTTTGGACTGAAACAGTAAGGTCCGTGAGCTGGGTTCTGTAGATTGTTGTAGGGAGGAAGGGATACCTGGCAGGCTTGTTGAGGAGCCTCCAGGTAGGGCCTCGGGTATTCTCAATCTTCTGGAGCCCGAAAAACTTCCATACCGTACCCTAAACCCCAAACTCAAAATCCTCGCCATACCGCGGAAGGTCTCTGGGTCGGCGCCGCCCGTGCGCGCCGCTGGCGCAGTGGCCAAAGCGGCTGCGGCTGCTCCAGCGCCGGAGAAGGTGGGGTTGGCAGGGGAAGGTTAATTTAGACCCGACCAGTACTACGGAAGGTCCAAGGGGTTCCTGATCAATTTTAAGTATAGGCAGTATAGGAATAATATACCCAGTCCCCCACCCCAAAAAAGCCTGCTTGAATCTTCGAGACTTCTAGTCTTTGCTCTTCGCCCGCGAGGCTTACCTGGCCTTGGGCCTTCCAGCACCGCAGATAGCGCACGACGCAGAGGACGAGCCCATGGACGACGAGGAGGGGGCAAAGGCGTCAGACTCCCTGGTACAATGGCAGCGATGGCAGTGGTAGTGGTGCTGGTGGCGCCGGTGGTGATGGTGGTGGTGGTTGTGGTAGAAGCAGAAGTAGATAGCTGTACATAGTAGAGTTGCTGTCGTGGCGCGGTGTCGTCTTTGGTTGCAGCAGGAGCAGGAGAGCAGGAGAGCAGGAGAGCAGGAGAGCAGGAGAGCAGGAGAGCAGGAGAGCAGGAGCAGGGGCCGGGGCAGGGGTAGCGGCAGCGGCAGCGGCAGCGGCAGCAGCGGTGGCCAGTAGTCGGTGTCATTGTCCTGCTGGCGGCGGGGGTTGTGGTGGTGTGATGAGTCCAACCCCAGTCGACAATCGCCGTTGTTGTCATCACGCACTCCAGATACTGAGATACTGCTGCTGTTGTCGTGTCTCTTGATGGCTTTTATCTTTGCTGCGGGTCCTGCCGCACTAGTCACAACTAGCATCATGTCCCCGACAGAAGCAACTGCTGTTGTTTGTATCGGAGGGAAGTCATGCAGAGAACCCTCGCTTAGAACCGAACAACTGCCCAGTTATGGACGTCCCAGGAGTCAACAGACGCCGGCAAGGCTGCAGAGGCCTGGGAAAATTCAGGGAGCGATGGGCTCACCACACAGCCCTGAACCTCACAGGGAACTTAAGTCACGTATGGCGCCTCCATACTTGGTGGGTGCTTGTAGAACGACGGTATAAGAAGCCCCCGCCCCAAAGCACAAGTCTCATATTTCAGCAGAAGCATTAAACAACTCTGCGGTTTTGAGTGAATTCTACTGAGAAGGCTTCATGCTTGCACTGCGTGCAGGGCCATTGTGGCTAGAATGGCTAGAAGACTTGAATCAGCCTGGAAAGAGACGCGGGTTTACGCCCCTGCCGCCATGGCAAGACTCGTTCGTGTGTTCCTTCTTACTGTGAGGGCCGCGGCTGTTTTTAAAGGAGAGCTGCTGAGCTTTCCCGTGGAAAAGCCGTCTGAGAAGGAATGCGGACCGTCCTTCTGTTTCAATGCCGAGACGGAAACTGCTTTGAGAAGCACCTCCTTGCGCATCCGAAGAAGTGGATCCAAGTATTGAGGATGCCACTTCTTTGCGATGCGATGTAAGTCCATGAAGTACTGATGGCTCGCACGAAATCTGAGCCCTTGTGTCGTGCTGACACTGTAAGCCTGCTAGCTGAAGGATGTTTCATGCCAGCTCTTATCGCAAGAGGTCTTCTTCCGCGAGTTTGTTAGTCAGCCTACTGGTGCATGCTATTCCCCGTGTCATGAAGCAAAGCAGGCAGGAATTCAACGGCTTCCTTTGTTCGGCAGCACCTCACGCCTTGTTAAAGCGAGGCCGCCGACCTTGATGGAAACTGATCTTTCTGAGAGGGTCTTTGCCCTGGGACGGTGCCGTTCCAGCTTTTGCATCAAGCATGCTCACATATGTATATATATATATATACACACACATAATATGTACATCAAGAACAGTATTGCATTACATATTGAATGGCCGGAGCTTCAGGAACGCTTATGGAAGCCTAATGTAGGGGCCTAAAGCACTACCGACATTGTGCGCTAGAGGGTTCCTTGTTAGAATGTAAGTACTGCATAGCACATCCCAAAGCCTGATAAAGGCAGCTATGTTGGAAGCTTTCACCCCGGCTAATGTATTTGCCTTATAATGATTAGAATAGAGTTTGGGGGTATATTACTATAATTAGAGTAAGGAACCCCCAAAATAGTACAGGTAATTATTAAGGCCCCTATACTATTTTTCTTCGGAGGACAGAGCAGTGCTGTCCGCCCGCCTGATGCGCTTCTTTGTCACGCTGCCGCCGCGTTGCTGCACTACAAAAGGGGCCGAGATAAGGACATACTATGGTAACATGATCCCCTTGTAGTCCTTGTGTGACTATGCTATGCTACTGAAAAAACCCCAAACGCTATTCTGATTAATTTTTAAGGCTCCTACACTACGAAAACGCCCGGTACAATCAGAATAACGTTCTTGGCTTGGCATGGTATATGTACAGCGATATCAGCTAAAACCTAAACCCCAAACTTGTAACCCCTAATCCCTAAATCCTAAACCCTCAACTTAAAACCTGGATGATCAGGACTCCCCAGTCTCCATGCTTCTTTGTTTTTGTTTTTCTCATTTACCATTCTTCATGACTGTTGAATTAGCGCTATGTGATATTATCCTGCACTATGCTTGACTTTCTCTTCTAGTATCTTATATTCTATTCCATTCTGTTTTTCTATTCTGTTGTATCATAATCCTTGTTTTCTGTATTATGTCACTATGTTCTGTCATATTATGTTACATAATTTTCGCAATATGTCAAATTGTGCTTCTATCATGTTTTATGTCATGTATATTGTATAGTATTTTGTTGTTTTGTGCTTCATGTATTGTTCGATCATGATGCTATGTGACATGGCATGGTATGGTATTTGCTGTTTCAGATACATATATATACATATATATACACACATGTTTACTTTATCGCATTTTATGGTATGGTAGAACATCATATTATGTGCTATTGGCTGAAATTGTATGATGCAATTTGCTATATTATGCAGTGTACGACGTTGCGCGTCATTGAATGTTAGCTCATACTTTTTGATATCCTATCATATCGTCTCAAACCGAACCAAATTATATCACATCGTATTTTTCATGTTATATCATACTATATACTGTTTAATATGATCTATCTGTTATGTCATATTATACTTCATTGTATATCGTAACCTAATACACGACAGTATGTTATATTGAACTGTAATATTATCCACCTCGTCTAGCACGTCTGTCTTCAAAGAAGTATTTTCGCGTTCAGGGCCAGCGCAATAAGTAGGGGTCCCGAATGTGAGCCCTAGATACACTGTTTGGGGTCTAGGGGGTATGGTAGGTTCCTTGTAAGAAGGACCTTGAAGAAGGTACCCCAAGTTCAACGTAGTCTAGGTTCGAGGTTCTGAAGCCTGGAGCCCTAAACTCTATAAACCAAATGCCCTAAAACCCTAAAGCCCTAAGCCTCGAACCTTAAGGCCCTAAGCCGTTTGGGTTCAGTCCCAGGACGCTGTCGCGCTTCCACGCCGGACTGCTGGTCGCCGCCGCAGAGGTCAGATGTGCTTCAGGGCCTGAGCTCTCTTAGGGATATGTCTGTGCTTTAAGGTTGAGGGTGCAGGGTCTCTTCAGATAGTTTGGGGCTTTAGTGTTTAGGAATTGGGGACCTCTTGGGGTTAGAATTGGGGCTTTGGGGGTTTAGGTTCGCAAGTTTTTTCATCGCATCGATCATGAATTCCTTCTTGGATTGCTCTCATGTTTATAGCCACGTAAGTAGTTGGTGGGCCTGTAGTCTCCGCTGAATCGTGCCGCATTGCACTTACAAAATGTTCCTTCCTTGGCTTGGCGTACTCATTGGGAGCTAGGTTGATGCTTGGTCAGCCCCAAGCTAGAGTGTCCATATACACACTACCATGACGGAATTCGGTCCCAAAAGACCATCC